AACAAGAGGTTCTCTAGCCTAGACACATGGGTTGTCATCTGTAAGGAGGAGGACATGGTCTGGTCTCTGCTCTTCAGATTGGGCCTTTGTGGTTATCCAATGACTACTCAATAAGAAACAGTGCCTTTGAAGATGAAACCAGAGATCAGGTATATGTCCTCTAGCTGAATGTCCTCGACACTGTATTTTAGGTATTTGTTCCTCTTTTGTCCTATGAGTATTGCTTCATCTTCCATGAAGGTGCAACTACAACTAATAGGATGTAAATCAGTCTTGAGTGTGGGTAGCTAGTATACCTTCAAGGAAGTAGATGAAGCTTTGAATACCTTCCAAAGAGAGGGTTGAACATTCATGCTCGTTCTTAGGAGTGTGCTGCACAATAAGTGCATTATTTCCTCCTCATCAACTATGCTTGAAAAGAAAGCATGTATTTGCTTAAGGAAAACCAATCTTAATGATGTGCTTTAAGCATTCTTCTTATTGACATTAGAGAAGCCCATTCAGTCCTATCAAAATTTAGTTGTTCTATAAATACCTGTCATTAAGTATCTGCTTTGTTATGTCACACAAAGCAACTATTGAGGGATTAGCTAGTTACCGTATGAGAATTGTCACCACTTGGGGATGCATCTCTGAAGTTTCACCTCTGCTCTGCTTCAGGCATCAAAAATTCCCTTTTGGACATGTTGTCTTTCTCAGCATCACTAAGACGGTCAAGTAGAATCACAGACTTCTGTGAATCCAGTGAATCTAGTTTTCTGGGCCATTACTTAATCATCCAAATCACATGCCATTTTTTCTTTTCCTGTAGTCCTGTCAGCATGTGCCCTCCAGCAGCAAGTACCTGAGGCAACAATCTCCTTTAGTATGGACTGTTGACTGATTTTAGGACATAGAAATTCTTAGGTGCATAGATAAAATGCAATGTTTTCTTTTGTAATATGTATACCTAGGTGATTGAGAACTACACCATAGTCTGCATGAACAAGGGATCTTTTACTATTGGGCTGCTAAGTCTAGGCCTATATTAGTAAATTAAACACTGCAAGGACATGGGCTCAGGCCACAGAATTTATTCTTTTGTGTGGCTACAGCTCTGGCACACTTCTGATTCACACCAGCTAGTATTCCCTCATACAACTCTGGGCTCCAAGCAATCATTTTGTGCAAATCAGGAGTTACCACAGAGCAAAGAGCTTTCCCAAAAGGCAGCTTGGATGTAGGCACATCCAGCTACAAGCTAAGAACTATAATTATTACAGATATGTTAGGTGGCTAAAAAGACCAGGGAATAAACGCTCCCAGCACATCGATGTAGTGAAAATTACACAGTAGCCTAACACCGATGGTGGTAAGCAACACCATATTTTCTGTCTAGACCACTAGGGGGTGCAGACCAACCCTATTCTGCCTCAAAGATTAGTTACTTTTAGGTTTGCTGAGATTTGGATGTTTCAGGCTTTACTCCAGAGTCTTAAAGGAAATGAGCTGAAAGGGTTACATGTCTTGCTATGCCCTACAACTCACCTGCTTCACCTGCAGTAACCCAAAGTCTATCTTTGTCCTCCAACAGACTGGTGTCGACATTTCTGTCTGTCCTCATCCACCTTGGTCTCCCGCTACCTTTTGTTGTCATTGTTGTTGTTTGTTTGTATGCATATTTTATTTGTATTATTATTTTCCTCAGCATTTCTGTTCCCATTTGTCCATGGTTTTGCTATTCCTTCCTATGTCTCATCATTCCTCTGCATTCCAGAAAAAATTGCTGTAGCCCAGGAAAGGGACTTGTTCAGTTTACCCAGGATACTGGGATAACAGAGTTTCCATTCAGCGGAATTCATAGAGCCTCAAAAATTGGTCGTATCTTTGAAAACTTGTGTGTGGGGGGGAAGTCTTAAGAGGATGATTCCTTTCTTTGTGCTTACTCTCTTACTCAAAGCAGACTTGTGTTCCTGAATATTCCCTAATTGCCTCAGCAAATGCTTCGAACAGCTACATCTCTGCGTGTAACATCCTGTCAAAGAAAACGTAACACTTTTCATCTTAAATGTTGTTCAGTCTTACAGGCAGCTCCCTACGGAATTTGTCTTCATGGTCACTGTTTCCGTGCTACAACAGATTTTGTTTCCTCTATGACTAAGGGCTGCAGAAAGGACCAAAGAAAATCATATTAAGAACCAGTTGTTACTGAAAAAATCTTTTTAAAAGGAGCACATCTACAGATATTGCTGAATAGTGACCAGCATTGGTAACCTTGACTTTCATTGATGTAAAATACAGTTCTCTAGCGGTAACACGCACCTGCACTGGATTACTAAGGATACATAATACTCACATCTGAAGATGGAGAGAAGATAAAAGACTACACACTTTTGAGAGACTTTACATTTCCCCTCTTACTTTTGCAGGTGTGAATCAGGTGCATTGTGCCTGGTAGTACATCAGCCTAGTTGCTCCACTGTGAGTGTATCAAGAGCATATTTTATTCTTGTCATTTTAAGGCTTAATCAGCAGGTGGAAGAGAGAGAATGTGAGGTTAAAATTATTTTGAGTTTATGAGCAGTTAAGCTTGAATGTAGCAGTATAAAAATATGACAAAATGTGCAGTGCAGCTCTTGAAGTACAAGCTTAGAAATGCCTTGCATTCATTAACTGGCCTGGAGAACTCTTGGTACCTCATAAAAAGACAGAACATTTCTATAACAATACGAATGGCTAAAATCCAATGTTAAAGAAATGACCCATTGTATGAAATGTATACAGAAACTCTTCCTATTTCCTCTTCATCTGAGGTTTTAGGTGGACATAGCTTCTGTTTATACTGGACACCAGTGAAAAATAAGACTACCAAAGGAATATTTCAGTAAGGACTGAAGACTTCCTGCCAAATATGTGTTCTAAAAGACCAGATCAAACTGACATCACCAGATTCAAGGTTGCAAAAAACAAACCTGTGGGATATTTCTTATTGTTTAGCACCTATATTTAGACAAATATGGATTATATTACCCAATTTAAACCCATTTCGAAACTAATAATAATAACTAAGGAATCACTCTGAGGTTTCGTATGCATAAACAGCAAGCCCACAAAGAATACCACCTTGACCTTCCAATTCCAGTCAGAATATCAAAATTTATCAATGAGAGAAAACATTCCCAAACAACAAAGCAAAAGATCTTTACTTACAAAATGAACCTATTTTATCCTCAAACTGTCAAAGTACAAATCATTGACCATTTCTATAAAATCATTTTTGAGAAGAGAGCTCTATTCTTTTGCGTACTGTGAAATGTGTAGGAATGGAGACATATAGCAAGCCATAGTATTAAAAGTATTGTGTTTCAGCACAGACTGCAAATATCTAACGACCAAGGTCATATAGAGTTGTAAGGAACGCCAAAATGATTGCCATCAATACCCACACTGATAAAACTGAGATGCAAGTATTTCTACCTGGATTATAATCTCATCTCTAGCTACATGATGATTTGCTCTTGGCATTGTCTAAATTAGTTGATAGGTACACACCTATCAGCTAATAGTAGATGTGCAATTCTGGACTGGATCTCCTGCAAAGTGGACTGAAAAATGGGGTACAACTCTGGTGTCCACGGGGATTCACCTCCTGATAAAACTGGGAGATGAATGGGATGCCATCAGTGTCAGGAGCTTGGAAGTATTTCCACACCCACAACTTAAATATGATATGCATATTTGAGTTCTCCATCTGCACATGACAGTGACAAAACTTCTCTGGCTAATGGGATGTTTTAAGAGAGAAATTCATCAGAGTTGTCCAAGTACTACCATAATGGGGATCTAACAAGTAGAGTGGAAGGGATTTAGGAATGACTTTTAAAAATCAGTAGGATTTATGCTTCTGAACGAAACAAATGCTATTGAGAACCCTAACTATGTTTCTTCATACACTATGTATAAAATCTAGAAAGTGCTTACACCAACTACCAACCAAGATCAAGTAGTCAATGTCCAAACAGATTTTAAGCAAAGAAATGATTAAAAGAAGCAAATACAAAAGAAAAAAAGAGAGAATCTCTGATATATGATTTTGCCCAGTACAATTTCAAAATGTATGATTTCACTTTCTTTTGGGCAATCTGATGACAGCACATTACTACAATAACTGCTCTACAGGTGGCTACTTTATGTCTGTTTTTGAACTATTAAAAAAAAGAAAAAAAAAGAAAAAAAACACTTCGCTGAAATAGTCTCTCTCCCTGTCTATTAAGAGACAACAAATGCAGCATGCAAGAGTGCACAGAGTTGCGAGACTTCCTTCTGGTGCCGGTCTGTCTGAGTTTGTCTGAGTTCAGTTTTTATGCATCAAAAGCCCCTGATGAAATTATACCTCTAATGAGATGGTTCCACAGACACTTGTATATGTATGTTTGTTTGCTGTGAACCTTAGGAGCAGTCTCAGGATGACTGTAATATATGACTCTGCAAGAGATAGCCATCAGATACAGACTCACAAAGAGAACCAGTACAAAACGATTTGCCTTTTTTCCCGCAATGTATAGACACTCATTCTTCCTCCTTTTTAAAACACCAGTTGAATTCATACTAGGAAATTTACTATTCTCCTTACTAAAAGCAAACTGTACACCTGAGAAGATTTTATTTTGATAGTGGTTTGTACAGACTGAAACTCTTAAAGCTAGCAGTAAGTTCTTCCTTTTTTTTTTCTTTTTTCTTTTTTTAACTGCAATATCTGCTGTAATAATTTTGACTTCTGACTAGTAGTAACATAAATTCTTCATTATTATTGCTCTGTTATTAATCCACGAAGTACTTAAATTATTTCTAAAGTTCAAAGTCATTAGGGACAAAGATCACATGCACGTCTTGTATTACAACAAACTGTGTTCTCCCTTCAGATGTAAATAATAGGAGGGAGAAGAAACTGTCTTTCTGATTCCACTGAAAAATAACTATTTTTTAAAAAAATCAAGAAGTCAAAAAGCTGCACTCCTTACCTGAGCTGAGATGTGCAGTGCACCTTGAAAACCTCTTAAATGACAGAGAAGAATTAGTAATAGTTGAAAGTTTGTACTCATCCAACCACAGGAAATGACCGCGTATTTTAACAGTGATTAACTCCTTCCTTACTTCATGTCTTCACGTTTTCAAGTAGAGTGAAAAATCCATCTTACCCTTCCACTGCAGTTTGGTAACTAATGCCATGCTGTACACATTTGTGTTTCACACAAAATATGCAAGTAGCCAGAGGAGATGTTTCTGACTACCTCCACAGAAGAGAGAATTTGCAGTATCTTCTGCAGAACTGTGGCACAGTACATTTTACTCTTGAGTGAAGCTTGTATGATGAAGTGTAGAAATGACAAAGTAATGGTTTGAGTGAGTAATTCTCCTTTCTAGAAGATGTTTAGAGCAATATTCATGACACAACTTCTCTGCCATTGTGCCCAACAGAGCAAGTTACAAGCCAGCTATTTAAAGGAGCAGCACCCATATAGTATAGCAATTACTGTAGAAAATAATTTAATGCACAGGGATTCTTTAGGTGAAATTCTGACATGCTGGATTCCTCTATGCATGAAAAGCCTTCTTTCTCTAAAAGGCTCTTTGCCTTGGTTGGACATAACTGTTCAACTGAAAGGCATTTCTGAGTCTAAGCATTATAGGAAATCGTCAGTATGAAAGCTAGTAAAGGCTGGTTTTGGACAGAAGCACAGGTGAGGCGAAGATTTAGGCCATCTCCCACCACCCAGGCTGTCTGTGTAGACACAGGGAAGGTTAAGTACTTCAAAGCAGATCCTACCGAAACAGTTGGCTGAGAAAGAAAACACTTTTACAATGTACACTGAATCTTAGAAAATTAATCCTAAACATCAATATGCCCTTTCTATGGTCTGATTTTTTTTGCCTAGGACCTGTGTGTTTTATTTTAAAATGTGGGAAGTGTCTTGCCCTCCATTTGGGATGTTGGTAGAGGAAAACAGAATTGTGAACAATGTGCACTTTTATAAGAGAGTTTCATAGCTTACGTACCCAACAAGAGAGTTATTTTCAGCTTTGTCTTCTTTTTCTGATGAGCTAAATTAATATTTTGAGCTGACCGCAAGAGCAATGCCTTAATCTCCAAACAGTAGGACTTCTTGGAGAGGGAAGGGTGGAGGGAAGAACCAGATCTCTCTTCTGTCTTGCCTTAGATACTCAGTTTATTGCAGACACAGACAGGGAGGAAAAGAAGATGGATGGGGGCAAGGTTTGAAAGCAGCTTCAAGGGCTGACAGTATTCTGCTTAAAATATGCCAAAAATCCACAGAAATCACCCAGTCAGGGATTTATACTATCCCTTCTAGGAAGGATGAACCAGCAAAGCAAGAATTGATGGGTCAGAAAGCCTGTGTTACAGACACTTTTTCTTTGGGAGAGTCATTATAGAAACTACATAAATGATGTCAGTAACAAGGACCAGAGCTTGATGGTGTTCAGTCAGTGGTGGATGTCTTCAGTGGGGGGTATCAGACAAGCTTCCTTTTAGCAGGTTTCTTATTAGGTTCTTCTTAGTTACAGGCTATGGTCACTCAGATCATGGATTCCTCTCTGCAGAGCAGTCCTGCTTCTGCAAAAGTATTGGAAAAGGTACACATCCCAACTGTGTACTTTAGGAGTTTTCCGGACAAGTGGGACCACTGAGTCTGAACCCATTCACTGAATGTTTTCCACTGTCTGGGCCAGTATTCTAGATTACTGTGCAGACAGTAGCCACTATCTATTCTCCCAGCAGTGCTCATAGCCACCATGGCTTGTGCTGAGATCAGTGCTATGTCCTTGTTGGACAGGGGATATTTGATGGAATCATAGAATGACTGACATTGGAAGGGACCTTTGGTGATCATCTAGTCCAAGCCCCCTGCTCAACTGGGATCACCTACAGCAGGTTGTCTAGACAACTTCTTAATTACTCCAAGGATGGAGACTCCACAGTACTTGACAGCAACTTGTTCCAGTGCTCAGCTGCCTTTGTAGTAAAAATGGTTTTCCTTATATTCAGATGGAACTTGCTGTGTTTCAGTTTGTGTCCAATTGCCTCTCGTGCTGTCACTAGGCATTACTGAGAAGAGTCTGACCTCATCCTCTAGATGCTCTAATCACTTATTCAACTTAGCAGCTGTTCATTGGACTTGCCCTCTTGTACTGGGAAGATGTGGACCCAGCACACCAGATATGAGGGCTGAGGCACTGAGGAGTGCTATCTGCAGCTGTATGCTTAACTTGACACTAGTTCTTTCACAGTTTACTGCAAAAATCATGGAGATAATCTTGATCCTCAGTGTAAACTGATGCTTAGTCACTCTTTTTTTTTTTTGGATGAAGAAAAACATTCATGATAGGATTATTTATTTATTGCAGAAGTACTGGGGCATTTTATAGAAAACATTATTGCAGGATAGAGATTCAAGTTGTTCTCGCCTTGACTCCTCTTACTTCAAATACAAAACCTTAATCAACTGTCAATCTTTGTCAGCTGCCGCACTTGCTTCTCATCATGAGCCTACAGGTAAACAGGAAGGAGTTTCAGTCTCACAACCTCAAAGCATGCAAAAATATTGAATCAGACCTCATAAAAAATAAAGGTTTGCTTCCTAGTTTGTTATTTTGTATTTTGTTTCTTATTTTGTATTTTGTATATATATATTCTTTCTTTCTTTCTTTCTTTCTTTCTTTCTTTCTTTCTTTCTTTCTTTCTTTCTTTCTTTCTTTCTTTTTTTCTTCAGCTCAAACATAGCGGGTTAGAAATAGAATTATTTATCTCCAGATTTGGATCTTTAAGGCTATACATATTTTCAAGTTTTAAAATTTTCATTCACTGCTGTTCTTAAAAAAAATCCCCTGAGGGAAGGAACTTCCATAAAAGAATAGTCAGCATTTCCTGATGGTAAAAATATAAAGCTTGACAATCCTTGAATTTCGTCAGATTTTGATAACCTTTGAACCCTGTGCATTTTTATAGATGTGTTCTTCTGGCAAAGTTCTGGTGGTCTGAAATCCATAACCAGCTTCTTACTGACTTCATTGGAGTCAGGAGTTCACCTTACCCGTACCCCTCCGTCAGTTTGAAGCAGTCAATTAGTATTTGGGTTCCCTCTACTGTTGGTATGAATCTTAACTTGGACTATATTCTTCTGGGAGATATGGCCATGATTTTTGTTAGTGTGAATCTGTATCAACCCTGTAGGTGACCTGCATGTGACTTTGTTTGTCTCTTGGTGGCCAGAGGAAGGAGACTGTGGAAGAAAATCTGATTTGCACAAAGCACTGACAGTTCCCTTGGCTCCACATCAAGACATACCAATCTCTTGAACAAAAATGGAAAAAAAAAGGAAATGGTTTTGTGGAGTTGCAGTAAATCAAAACAGAGGAGGAAATATAATCGCTTCTTCAACTGAGGAGGGTCCTGGAGTAATGAACAACTACAGACTAATTCCCTATCCACTTTGGGTCTCTTTGCAGGTCTAAGCCTGGCAGTAGGTGTGAGCTGACAGTCATGGCCTGACTGTTGGAGTATTTGGCGTAATGTTAGTTGTAAAATGAAAACAAGGTGAGATAAGCAGTCTGTTCCTGTACTCTTCCTAAAGGGTTTGTGATGTGAACTCAAGTAGCAGTGGATTGGGAGGTTTCACAGGAGTGGGGACATGCTCTGTGAAAGCCTGGATATGGGATTGCAGGGATACGGGCAACTTTGATGGAGAAGTCCTGTGTTTTGTGAAAGAAGGGACAGGACATCTGTTCCAAAAGAAGGGGAAGCAGAGTGGCATGGAGAATTAAGAAAAGGTAGTAGGAGGAAGGGAGAGGGGATGAGAGAACAAGTCCCTAAGATGTAGGGCAAGCAAAAAGACAGAGTCTGGTGACGCAGAGGTGAAAGAAAGGAGATGATAGTTTATTTCTGGGATATTTCTGTTTCTCTGTGATATAAAGGTCTTTGCCTGATTTTCAAGACTTGGGCAGATGGTACATTATAGTGAAACAAGATTATTGCAGCATAAAAAGTTACACAGTAAAGTGAGCTTTTCAGAGGGTTGGAGAAGAGGCAGGAAGTTATTCAAGAAAAGGAGAAAGGATCTTCTCCTTCAGCCATCTTGATATCTCCAATCTCCTCAACACTCTCTTACCTATAGAACTCACAGAATCACACAGACTCACGGAATAACCGCATTTGGATCTAGCGATCATCTGGCCCAACCCCCCTATTCAAGCAGGGACACCTACAGCACATGGCACAGGATGGCATACAGGTAGCTTTTGAAGATCTCTGAAGAAGGAGACTCCACAATCTCTCTGGGCAGCCTCACAGGGCTCTGTCACCCTCACAGTAACTGAATTGCAATACAAACAGTGATTGTAATACAAATACTCTCCATCATCTTTGAAAGATCCTGGAAAATGGGGGAGGTGCTGGAGGACTGGAAGAAAGCCAATGTCACGTCAGCCTCCAAAAAAGACAAGAAGGAGGACCCAGGCAACTACAGGCCAGCCAGCCTCACCTCCGTCCCCGGAAAAGTGATGGAACGGCTCATACTGGCCGTTGTCTCCAGGCACATGGAGGACAAGAAGGTGCTCAAGAGTAGTCAGCATGGATTCACCAAGGGGAAATCTTGCTTGACTAACCTGATAGCCTTCTATGATGGAATGACCAGCTGGATAGATGAGGGGAGAGCGGTGGATGTCGTCTATCTTGACTTCACCAAGGCTTTTGACACCGTCCCTCACAACATCCTCCTGGGCAAGCTCCAGAAGTGTGGGATAGATGAGTGGACAGTGAGGTAGTTTAGGAACTGGCTGGATGGCAGAGCTCAGAGGGTGGTGATCAGCGATGCCGAGTCTGGTTGGAGGCCTGTAGCTAGCGGTGTCCCCCAAGGGTCAGTCATCAGACCCCAGACACCAGTACAGGCTGGGGACCGACCTTCTGGAGAGCAGCTCTGCAGAGAAAGACCTGGGTGTCATGGTGAACAACAAGTTGACCATGAGGCAGCAGTGTGCCCTCATGGCCAAGA